TAATTCCTTCTTTTTAAATGCTGGAGTCACATGTGCCGTGTTTGAAGAAGCACGTGAAAGTAATTAGACAGTAACTTGAGATCCTGGTCACATCTAAGAACTTCAGCCAAATAACTGATAAATTAGGTAGTGTTTAGCATATACCAGATGCAGCAGTGACGTATTTAAATAGTATATATACTTGTTTATAAATGATATTTCTATGTATAAAACCTCTTGTGTATGTTTTTTTTTTCTTCTCACAGGGTAATAAGAGATTTGTTTTTAAGTTGTAATGGAGTAAGTCAATTAATTGAATTAAATTACTTAGATGGTATCCGGAGTCATTCCCTAAAAGCATTTGAAACTCTGATAATCAGCCTCGGGGAACAGCAGAAAGATTCTTCAATTCCAGGTCCTGATGGGATAGACGTTGAACAGAAGGAGTCGTCAGCTTTAAATGCAGGTACTTCTCTGCATAACCAGCAAATTTACTCAGATTCTCCTCAGAGTCTTAGAAAATTTTATGCCAGCCTCAAAGAAGCTTATCCGAAGAAACGGAAAGCAGTTAACCAGGATGTTCACCTCAACACGATAAACATCTTCCTGTGTGTGGCATTCTTGTGTGTAAGTCAAGAAGCCGAAGTTGATGGCGAGCCCGCCAACGATTCCGAAGACACTTCCGGCTACGACAGCACGGCAAGCGAGCCGCTGCACCTCGTACTGCCGTGTCTGCCCCTCGAGAGCCTCGTCTTGCCTTCTCCGGAACACATGCACCAAGCCGCAGACATTTGGTCCATGTGTCGTGGCATCTACATGTTGAGTCCAGTTTTCCAGAAACAGTTTTATAGACTTGGTGGTTTCCGGGTGTGCTATAAATTAATATTTATGATCATACAGAAACTACTCAGAAGTCATGAACAGGAGCAAGGGAAAAAAGAAGGAGAGATACATGTGAATGAAAACCAAGATTTAATCAGAACGCCTCAACCTGAGCTCAGAATGAAGGAAGATGTGTTATCTTTGACTGTGAAGAGTCCCCCTACACCACCAGAACTGGGTAGCCTAAAGGACAGTGCTGACAGTTTGGGTCAACTGGAGTCACAGCATATTGCTTCCATAAATGTGGAACAAATTTCAGCCACCGAAGCTGCTCCTGAGGAAGCAAAGGACCTTACGAGTCGAGAAAGTGAGACCTCACTTCAGAGCATACGGCTTTTGGAAGCCCTTCTGGCCATTTGTCTGCATGGCAGCAGAGCCAGTCAGCAAAAGATGGAAGTAGAGTTACCTGATCAGGTAATAACTTTTTCTTCGTCCAGCTATTGTGTAATAAGTGTTTTTTAAAAGTTCTAATGTAATGCCATTGTCGCTTTGTTTTCCCAAAGATTCTAAGTTTTGTGAAGCTCCTGTGTGCCCAGCACAGTACTGGGTACCATGGAGGACACAGAGGAACACGTGACCCAGTTCTTGCCCTCAGGAAGCTTACAGTTTAGTGTGGTGTGCAAAACCCACATGGGACAAAGTTACCAGCCCCAAAAGGCATTAGATACGCAGTAAATGTCAGCTGAGTAGTAATGGACATTATGTTTCAGAGTTCAAGCTTTGCAGGCTGGTTGTGATGCCGTTTGGTGCCCGGCCTAGATCCCCTTTCTCGAGCCGATGCACCCATCTGTCATTGGCGGCTGAGGGCTGACATCTGGACCACCTCCCAAAGAGTTTCCTTGGCTGATGGAAGATGCCTCATCTAAGATGTCTGGGAAGACAGCTCAGCAGTGACTGATGGATGTGGCGCTGGGGTGGGGTCAACCTCTGTGGTGCGGTTCAGGCTCTGGACCTTCCCATGGCTGTAGGCGAGGGCCGGACATTTATTCTGAAACTGCATCTTCCCCGACCTCCTCTGCTTCCCTCATGCCCTTACAAGTTTCTCCTGACAGCACTTCTCAACACAGAAGGAATCCCCAGTTTCAGGCCCTGCTCCTAAGGAACCTTCAAATGTGGCAGATCCCTTCTCTCCTTTTTAGCTCACCCCTGACTGTTTTGTCAGCCAACAGGCTCTCCTGCCGCCTCCATGTTGCCTCCTGTCTAAAATATCTTGATGCTTCACATTGCTCACAATTAAACTCCATACTCAGGAGAGTGTACAAGACCTCTCACAGCCTTGCTTCCACTTCCTTGTTTAGCCTTACTTCCTGCCGTTCTTCACCAGGCTGTAACCAGCCACCATGAGCTGACCTCTCCTCAAGACGCCATTCTTTGTCATTACTTCCGTACTTCTGTGCCTTTTCTTCTGCCTGGTGTATCATCTCCCTCAGTTTCTATGCCTGCTGTCTCCTATGTGTTCTCTCTCCATTGTCCGTCTCATACCACCTCTCCTCTGGGACACTTATGACAGGTCTCAGGCACCATCTCTGTTTCTGTTCTCGGAGAACTTTGTTTCTAGCTCTAGAATGATCGTCATCATGTCTTGTCTGTAGGTATCTGTGTCTCACATGGGACTGAGAGTTCCTTAAGGGAGATGTCAGCTTCTTGTCCCTCTTTATGGCCTCATCACCTAATACAGGGACATGGGCAAGCAGCCAGAGTTCCTTTCTAGGGTAGAATAGAAGGTGAGAAAAGGATTAGAATATAAGTGCTTCTTAGAGTCTTAAGGAATTTCGAAAATCTGGAGATGGTTAATCAGAACTCTGAAGTTTCAACTGATCTTTTTTTGTGATACAATTAATTTATGGTACATTGAAATTCATAACCACAGAAGATGAGTAAAGCATGTGATAAAAAATGTTATTAATTATAACAATAGGATGTTTATGTAAGAACTACATGTTTATAGTCATTTTACTTTCATATCAATTGTAAATAAATAGACTAGCTTTCTACTTGTTAAATGTTAATTTATCATTTTTTTGTCATTGTATTATTTTTTTTTAAGGATGTTATTCTTGAGACTAATTCTTAGTCTCTTATTTTACCTTAGAACTTGTCTGTGGAAAGTATATTGTTTGAAATGAGGGACCATCTTTCCCGATCGAAGGTGATTGAAACAGAATTGGCAAAGCCTTTATTTGACGCCCTGCTTCGAGTTGCACTGGGGAACCACTTAGCAGATTTTGAACACAGTGATGCTGTGATTGAGAAGGTACGAGTGACATACAGTTGTGTTGTCTGGGTGTGACGTGCAGAAACAGAAGAGGGTGAGATGGGACCCAGGACATGGATGGATGTGGTTAGAGCGTATGGGCCAGGATTTGGTGAGTCCCATGGGTCACGTCCCCATCATCTGAGATGGATAGTATTTATTCAGTGCCCTAGTTCATAAAAAATAGGAGTGCAAAATGACACACTTTTTTTCATCTAATCTGAAAATTTACTGAGAATTACTCCTGGTAAGACAGAAATGTATTATTTGATTTGATAGCTTACATTTAATAACTGGTAGTTTATTAAATGATAATTCAGGGATGGTGAGGACTCAGGTATCTGATCCTAAATTGGTGCAGCCGATATTTCCAAAATAATCAACTTTAATTTTAAATCACTCCACATAAAAATGACTAGTATTTGCATAGAAAATAGCAATCATAGTTTTTTAGTTGTTCATGTTAATATTTCTTTCTAAAAGAACTATCTTAATTTTTTCCCTGATGCATTTCCCTATCCTTTCATGTTTAGTTTACCTTTAGTTGATTGTCACCTGTCCTTTAAATAGGTCCTTTAATTCCTTGGTCTAGCCATATATATGACATTTTATAATCTTCTGCCATAACAGTTTATATTACTGTTTGTCATAACTTAAAAACTTACTGAAATAGCTACTAATGCTTTCATCATATTACTGAATCAATTGATTAACTGGAAAATGGTAAAGTACCCACTTTATTCTATCTTTTATTAATGTTGCAATGATAAAGTGCTCTGAGCTTCTTTAAGTGAAAATGTTTTCTTAGGTGAAGGTATTTGAAGACTTTTATAGAAAAGGAAAATTTCATGCTGCAAGGTTTTGCATAGTAGTTAATGCTGAAACTCTTGATTGCTGAGATGGTTGTGTATAGACAATTGCATTCTGACATCTTAAAATTAATCCCTTTGAAAAATTTTCATGTCTTCTCTGGTTATCTAACTTAAAAAACATTTTATATATAAAAATCCTGTGGAAAATTCTTTTTCCATGAACAAATGTTTAAAAATAATATATATTTGCCAGCATTAAGTTGTAAGAAGTATAATTCCACATCATAGTCATTTTTAGTCATTTTTTATTATACAACGAGAATGGACTTTCTTAGATTTATTTTTCAGTAAAACTGAAATAACCTATAGCTTAATCTGCTAGAGACCCCCCACCCACCCCATTTTTGAGGTGTTAATCAAGTTATCTGAGATTCTGGAAAATTTTGCATGTGAATTTCATGATTTATAATGGTTAATTAATATCAATTCATAAGATTTTTTCTTACAAAAAATACTGAAGTTCTTAAAATGACTTTTGCGTAACATATATTCTATTTCTAAAAAGGAGCAAATGTTACAGCTTTTGCCGTTTATTACACCGATCTTATAGAGTCATCAATCTGAAGAAGAACTGTCATCCCAACCTGGAGATTTTTCAGAAGAAGCTGAGGATTCTCAGTGCTGCAATTTTAAACTTTTGGTTGAAGAAGAAGGTTATGAAGCAGATAGTGAAAGCAATCCTGAGGATAGTGAAACATGGGATGATGGTAATATATATGTGCACATATGTGTTCATATAGTCTAGTGATTCATTATACAAACTTTTTGTTTTTTCCAGTTTTATTGAGAAATAATTGACATACATCACTGTATAAGTTTGAAGTATACAGCGTGATGGTTTGATTTATATATATTGTGAAATGATTACCACAATAGGCTTAGATAATATCTATCATCTTGTATAGATACAATAAAAAGAAGAGAAAAAAAATTTCTCCTCATGATGAGAACTCTTAATATCTACTCTCTTAACAACTTTCCTATGTATCATACGGCAGTGTTAACTTTAGTTACCATGTTATAAATAACATCCCCAGTGTGTGTTTGTCTTGTATTAATACCTTTTGACTACTTTCCTCCAATTCCCCCCACCCCTCAAGAAAGTGCTTTTGAAATAATATTGGTTTAATGGTGTTGGTTTAATCATAGCACAGACATGACTTTGTAATGACAGATTTCCTCCTTTTTATATGTTTGCTAACTCGGTCTTAATTTAAAGAATTCTGTTCTAGGTAGAAATGTGTAAATTTCTTAACTATATGAACACTTAACAGCACAGCATTATCTTTTAAGAGCATATCAGTTAAATTTTGCAAAATGTAATATTCAGTGAGACAGTATCTATATGTTTCTCGCTTATGAAAAAAACAAGGTTTAGAATTTATCCCACCAATAGCCAAGCCTACTATTTTCATGAGCGGGCAACTGAACTACCCTGTGATTTAGGTATTTTGGGGTCAGAAAGTTTGGGAGAGTATTTTTTTTCCAGTGGGTAGTAGGAATGTGTTAAATATGTCTGTAGAAATTTCTGTTGATAATATTTGTAATTTTACTGAAGATCAGAATTACTTTGAAGGCTACTTATTTATCTTCAAACTACCCAGAAAACTTGATTATTCAGGATACGTATTGTAATAAAAAAATCATGCAGTAGGAAAAGGTTTTGTGAACATCTACTTATAAATAGCACTTTTGCCACTAGAACTCCTAAATGACGAATGAGATTTGAAATATTATTCAGTGTTTAGGAAATAAAAATCTTTTCTTTTCCCCTTTAGGGGTAGATGCAAAGCCGGAAGCAGAAGGTTTCATTGCATCAAGCAGTCCAAGTGACTTACTTGAAACCCTCACTCCAGGGGAAATAATATATCCTGAGATTTGTATGCTGGAATTAAATTTGCTTTCTACTTGTAAAGCCAAACTTGATGTGATTGCCCACGTATTTGAGAGTTTTTTGAAAATCATCAGGCAAAAAGAAAAGAATATTTTTCTACTCATACAACAGGTAAAAGATGCTTTAAGTTAAATGTGATGAAATTTATCACACTCATGCCCCAATTACTCATCTCCTTATTTATAACCCAACTTGTCTGAAGATTATTTGAGATGACTACTTATCTTTTATAATACCTTAGACATGTTTTGACCTACAAATGGTATTCTAAAAATCTTCTAATTGCGTAAGACGTTTATTCTAAAAATCTTCTAGTTCCATTTTAGTTCTCTAAGGTAGCATAAAAAATTAATGTTGTCATTGGCTAATTAATAGTGATTCCTAGTATATTTCTGAGAATGGGTAATATTTTTAAAATTACATTTAATTTTAGTATATGTCGTTGGTTTTAAAAATCAGAAAACAAAAACAGTATGAAAATTATGTGTAATCCTACGCATAGCATTCTTTTTAGTTATTTTTAAATACTTATATATGTATATACAGTAGACTAACAAGTAATTTATTACATTATAGTTGCTTCATGCTTTCATAAGGTAAGTGCTGTACACCTGAAGCTGATGTAGAATAATATTGAATGTCAACTATAATTATATATAATACACACACACACACACACACACACACACACACACACACACCGGGGGTACCAAAAAAAAATGTATACACATGACTTGTATTCTTTTGTTATCAGTATATATTATTACAATTTTAATACAGCTTTTTTCTTTCTTAAAATGTGTATACTTTTTTTCGGCACCCTCTGTCTATAGTCACGGGATATAAAGTACAGCATAGGAAATATACTCAATTGTATTGTAACAATTATATACGATGTCAGAGGGTTAGAAGACTTGGGGGATTATCACTTTGTGATGGGTGTAAGTATCTAATCATTATGTTGTTTTGTACACCTGAAACTAATATAAAAAAGTAAAATTAAAAAAATAATAATAAAAGAAATTTAATTTTTTATGTTTTGTTTTTAATCTTCAGGGAACTGTGAAAAATCTTTTAGGAGGGTTCTTGAGTATTTTAACACAGGCTGATTCTGATTTTCAAGGTGCGTTGAAACTGTTAGTCTTAAACAGTAGCTCTGAAATTAGTTTGTTGTTATGTGAAATGGAGCATTGATAATAATGTCTTCCATGGGCATAGTGCTCTGTGGCTTCTGTAGTAGGTTTATATACATCATCTCTTTTGTTCCTCAGACCCACCCAGTGCAATAGACATAGTGTAAGGATCTTGATTTTACAGGAGGAAATCTAGATTCCAAGGGACTGAGTGAGTTGTTCAGGGTCGTATACGTGGGGGTGGCATTATAAGGACTGTGACCCTTGATGGAATAAAGAAATATTCAAACTAGTTGTTTGTGATATTTAAGTGTTTCATAATCTTAAATATTTCTAATTTTATTTGTCATATAATATCATCTAATTTTCTATTTAGAAAGTGACAGTTATAATTTAAATGTTTTCAAGATGAGAAGGTAGCAGACCATTTTATGGTGCTTAATTAACAGTGTCAACTTATTTAACAAATACTGTATTAATTTATGCTTCTTTAAATCATACTTTTACTTTACTTGGAGCTAACCAATCATTAAGGAAAGTGGGTTTTTTTGTTTTGTTTTGTTTTTTGTCAGTTGATTTGCATTAATCATATTGCTATTCCTTCAGCAAAGTTTTGGATTATTAGATTGTTTATCATCCATTTAAAATGTGACAATAATATTTAATCTCTTTCAGTGAAATTGCTTATTCAGTTTCTTTAATTGTGTACTGGCTTTAACTCCACCTCTATGTTCCTTTAATTCAGCATGCCAGAGAGTACTGGTGGACCTTTTGGTGTCTTTGATGAGTTCAAGAACATGTTCGGAAGAGCTAACCCTTCTTTTGAGAATATTTCTGGAGAAATCTCCTTGTACAGTAAATATGCTATAATTAATTTTTTTTTCACTGATAGCGAACAGGATATTTAAAAAAATACTTGTAAATCACCAAGCTCTCTCTTTTGATGTGATAATTTTACAGTCAGCTTCATGTTATTATTTGTGAAGTTCCCAATTATTGTACTATTTGCAGATCTTTTAACCATTTCACTTCTGTTTTGGCTAACCAGACATACCATTGGGATCGTAGCTCCTTTACCCCAACCCACCCCAGTTTTGTGCTTAAGAAATGCTAAAGAAAAAAAAAAGCTAAAGAATTTTAATTAGTAAAGAGAACTTAATTATAAGTAATTATAACCATTTGGAGAATTACCCTTTTTTTTAGAAAATTATGATCCACTCCTCAGGTATCTTCTATCCCTTCTCCTTTCCATTGGTGTAGCTTAGCAACTTTTAGACTGTTCTTTGCTGAGGAACCCATTTTTATAATGAACTATTGACTAAGAGTATAAGCCAATAAAACAGAA